TTGAAAATATGATTGAAGTTCCTCCTCACCTTCACACCACTGTGTAAAGCGCTCAACAGTTGGCCAACTGTTCGGCCATTGTTATTGGACATTGATCTTCAGTGAGAAGAATATTTGTTCGTTCACACTGAGCATAGCTCAGAATTTTTGGTCAACGACCTTTACTGTTGTGCTGTTACCAAAAAAAATATACCCAAAAATCAAGAAACACACACACACACGAACGAACAGCAACAATTGTGTGTGCGTTTGTGGAATAAAATTAACAATTTGTATTTTTTGGAGGGAGAACTTCTTTTGTTGTTGCTGCTGTCGTGTGTTTGAGAGTGCGTGGTGAGCTGCTCTGTCCGAATGACTGATGACTACCGGCCGGTAAAAAGTTAAAATAATTATGTGTATGTACGGACCGGATTGTTCATACGCTTGCGTATATAGTCGAATTTTTAAAATAAATAAATGAATAAATTCTGGGAGCCTTGGGTGTGTGTGTGTGTGAGTACTGTTGAGCTATACTTAGCCCACAAAGATCATGTCAATGAACTTGGCTTTGGTTCTTTTTCGTATGGTTGTTATTTTTGTTGTGGACTATGAATGACATGACACAATGATGATAACAACCACTCTCAATACTCTTAGTTACGCATACTCTCCCCTCTCACATGTTGAATGAGCCGGTGTTCTCTGGCCATTGACAATTAGTCAAAACAAGTCGCCATCAACAAAAAAATTATTTTGACTGGCCCTCGAAAAGTGAGTTGTACTTGAAATATTCGTTTTATTTTTTTTATTTTCTACCTTTTATTTTGGAGGGGTAATTTGATTTATGCGACTTTGTGAGAGTTTAATTTGTGGCTTTGCTGCTTTCCATTAAAAGTTTTTATGTACGTTTGTTATTTTTTTGGGTTATGTTGTTTTTGTTTTATTTTGATGCGTAACTTAACACTGTTACGTAGTTTCCTCCGCTTCTTCTATTCGGATGTGTCAAACATCATTTTTTCGGTCGTTGACCGAAAAATGTACGAAATTACCGCCTGTTGTTTTATTACGAAAACTGAGGGCATTCAACTTTTGGAAAAAGATTAAGATAGGCGAAATTTACATACATAGTTATATGTTTGTTAACAATAGAAAAAAAATACATTTAATAAATAAATAAAAAAACAAAAGTTTTATACTTTTTTTTACATTTTTCAAAACAAAAATATACTTCGATACTTCATGTGTTACAGAGTCTGACTAGCTACTGTACAGCTTGTGTAACAATTTGCTTCGACGTAACTGTTGTGAAATGCGCCTTAAGGCATGCTATACATTTTGTATTATAATAACAGAATGTTTAAAGGAGTGTTACCACATCCGTATACATAGCACTCGAGTTACATATTTGGTCCAAATTTAATTTTTTTTTGAATTGTACTTTTTTACAATTATTTAGCCTTTTTCCAAATATTTGTATAAATTCATAAAAATAAAGAACGAATTAAAAATATTTTTAACTTAGGAAAATTATACAGGGTTATTTATTTCATGGTTTCAAAATAATATATTTATTTTTCATTTCACTTGAAAGTCTGATAATGACGAAAATGGAGCGCTTAACTATATTACAACGCATACAAGTTCTCAAAATCGACTACAAACAAGTAAAAAAGTGTCAGTCGGAGTTGCCAACAGATACAAATATCCTCAGCCTAAGGAGGTCTCAGTTTGAGGATGTCTGCGGGATAACGTATAGATTTTATTATTCCCCTTATATTAGGTTGGGAAAAAATAAATCCATTATTTTTATATGAACTATAGGACTTTATTTAACATGCTTCGGAATGTCCGATTTGGGCCAAATATGCACTTTTTTTGTATGATTTGTTGTTGTTTTAAAGCAGCAGTGCCCAAAATAAGTCCCATGGCTGTCGGTGGGTTTCAAATTGCTCAAACATACAATAAAAAAGAAAAATTTGAAAATAAAAAATATTTTCATTAATTTCTTTTCTATCTGAAAAAAATGGGGATATTTTTGGCAAACATTAATTCGGAACAAGTCGAAATATGTGACCAATATTATGGCGGAAGGGCAAAACAGAAACAAATATCAAAAAATGTATCACCAAAAAAAAAATGTTTCCTTCCCTAAAAGTTGAAAATAATATATTTACGAAATTTCCCTATAGGAACAGAAAATTTGCAAATAAACTCTAGTAGTCGATTTTCACAATCCTCCCTAGATACCAATTTTTTTCATTAATAAAATTTTGCAATACAGTCCGGTCTGTATGGCGGATGCATTAAAACTTCCCAACCAAGATCCCGAAGTTTCTGGTGAGTCACTGTAGATGTGTGTGGCCTAGCGTTGTCCTGGAGGAACACGACACCTCTCCCGTTGACCAATTCGGACCATTTCTGGTCAATTGTAAATGTTATAAAACAGATTGATTCGATTTCTAGCTCTTGGGTGATAATTTCTCCGATTTTATAGACATTTTCGACGACCGGCCTACCTGAGCGAAGTATATTTTAACATCAACAACATCCTGAACACAATCTACGAAACCAAAATTGCTCATAATTGGCTATTACTGTATCGGAATCATAAACACCATTCACAACTCTAGCCTGTAAATGTACCGAATTTGTTCTTTGTTCACTGTAACTTAGAATTGAATGCACCAAACAAAAAGCGGTAAAAAATCTGAAATTGGTTTATCTATACCTTACGAGAAATCTATCAGTACATCTATCTGCCGAAAAAATAATGGATTTCTTTTTCCCCAACCTAATATAAGGCATATGTTTTTTTTTTCAAAGTGTCGAACATCTTAGGATGGGGATATAGGTATGGGAAATTATTACGATTTTCAATGTTTGGATCCAATCCATTATCATTATATTGGATTAACAAATTTTCAAAATGTGGGGAAGGTACCAGAATCAGTGGACCAACAAGTCTCATATATAAGATATATATTACCACAAGTTTTTTTTATGGATTTCCGCTCGCTTCATATGAGATGTTCAAGATTTTCAAAATGTTGAATATTTGTGAAGGAGGTACTAGAAGGAGAGGTTTAGTTTGAATAGGATGCACTGTTCGCATTTGATTTGTACTTTGTTTACCAAAAAAAGGAGATGCGGATGCACCGAGAAATTTATGATATAACTGATCCGAAACTCCGTGTAAAATTTCAATACATGTAATGGATTTTGAATTGCACTTAAGTTAGTTTGACAAAACTTGGAAAGATGGCCGAATGACTACGTACTATATAAAAAAAAAAACAGTAAGGAAAGCAGTAAAGTCGGACGGGGTCACCACTTTGGGTATATTCAACAGATGAATCCTAACAGACGTCGCATTTTTAAAGGATCATTAACATGAAATTGGTCCTTTAAACATGACATTCTGCAATCGATACTACATTTTTCATTTGGTCAAATATAGAAGCTATATCTAAATCTGAACCGATTTTTAGGAAACTTAACACACACCATTCTAGACCTAATTCATTACGCTGTGTCAAATCGAAAATCGAAAGATATTAAGGGACTTTGGTGCTCTATTTACCTTAAATCGGACGAAAACATATATGGGAACTATATCTAAATCTGAACCGATTTCAATAGGGTTCGTCCTTGGGCCAAATAAGTGATCTATGCAAAATTTCATTCAAATCGCAAAAATCATCACAAAAATAAATGGACGGAAGGACAGACAGTGATTCTATGCATATTTTCAAAAGGAACCATGTGTCTATCTCGTTTCCTTTTGTGTGTTACAAACATATGCACAAAGACATAATACCCTGTACCACAGTGTGGTGAAGGGTATAAAAATCCGTATTGAATATTTTCTGCAAGGAAATTTTTACGCCCGAGAACTCAAACTGCCATACTATAATGGACAAAATTGATGGAAAAAATGTACTGAATACATACCCTCGAAAAATATACAGAAACCACCCTAATTATAACCAAACATTGAAAGTGCCTAAAAGTATGCTTTATTTTGAAACATTTACATTTTTCAATGAATTAGAAAACACCTAAATATTCGGTCGGACACTGAAACGTTTGCAACATTGGATTTAATTTTGCATCATTAATTGAAAAATGTACGAGGTCCTTGAAGGACGATAAACTGACCGGAAGGAACTGCGAGAAGCTCTTCCACACATTGAAATTCTGATTAGCGAAATTTAAGCTGAATTCGGTTGCAAAATATGGATAGGGTCTTCAAGACACCGAACATTGGAGGATGTCGTTATTTAAAGAGGATTTGATACCCCCTTTAAAATGTTAGAGCAGGTATATGCTCATCTAAATATTTTTATATTGAACTTAAACAGATAAGTTAACATCACAATATCGATTTAGATTTTAGTATTTTAAGCAGATTTGGACTCCGACGCATATTTTGAATATATTGACCACCAAATTACGAATGCGACGCATTTCTCTATAATTTTTGACAGAACCTCGTATATCAAAATAAATTATCGCACTTTACTTTTGTAAATATTAAACACACAGATTATTTTAGTTTAACTTTTATAAAATATTATTTATTATTTTTCTTTGTGTACATATTTTTATATTTTACATAAGAAAACACTTTGACGTGTATCGTTGATGAGTGTGTATGTAACATATACAAATGTGTAATTTAAGACTAAATGTAAATTCACAATTTAAACAATCATCTATACACATGCACATTACTAACGATTCACAAGACAAATGCTGTCCTCACAGGACCCAGATTTTGCTACCAAGCCCAAGCTTTAAGGTTCTTTGCTTTGAACAACTTTGGTACAGCCTGCTGCTCCTGTTTCAGGATTCTCATCACCAAACCTGCTAGACAATTTATGACAATTTAAAATGCTTTATTCCTCAGTATGGAGAGGACGAAAATTTGCTATTTCGAGTGCTACACGATGATATGTTGATGATGAAATGTATCCCCTTGTTTACTTCGAATTGCATCTGCATTTCGCCCGCTCACCCCTCTATGTGGTGGTCACTGACTGCTGACGGTTACGTTTATTTGCCAAACGTTGTCGCTGATAGAATTCCTCCATGGGACGAAATTCCGTTTCATAAACATCGGGAACTTCACGCTGTAAACATTCGAGAAATACCATTTTTACCGATTGCCGTCCATGGATTTGTTCGTCGTAACAACGCAGCTGTTCAAAAAATCCTGTATTCGGTCGTATTTGTGGCCGTACTACCTTAATGTGCATAAAGGCTTCACGTAGTGTCATTCGGCAATGTTTCATTAAATAGGCCAAACAAAGTGAAGCGGAACGACTGACACCGGCAACACAGTGCACCAAAGTTTTGCCACCATTTTGTCGTACCTCTTCAATCATATCGGCAACCTCATCGAAATGTTTTGACAATTCAGCATTGGGACGATCTGAAATATCGATACGTAAATATAGAATGGGTAGGGTGCTGGGCAATGGGGTGTCGGGTAGTTCGGGAGCAACATTTATCACCAAATTTATGCCCAGCGTTGTTATGACAGTCGGCGAGAGGACACTGGCACCGCACAAATATAAATGCGGCAGTAGTTGAGAAACTCCGGGGAAGCTGCAACGGGAGAAAGAAAAAACATTTGTTAGATTTATTTATAAATAAAAGAGAAATTGTTTAGTTGTATTAAATATTTATGTTAATAATTTTTCAATAGTTTGGGAAGTTTCGACACGTTCTTTAACCGAATCGGCTTTCAATTGATATTCTGAATTCTGATTGGTTGTCAAATTTGCGTTCCAAAAAATTGTCAATATCGGTCCATGTTAAGCATATTTCGAAGGTTTCATTCAAGTTAAAAAATGGCTGTAATATTATATTTTGGATTGAAATTGGATAGAAAATCTCCATACAAAAAATATAAATGTTGGCCCAAGCTTTGGCGTAACCTCCATATATCAGTACCTTCATTATTTATTATAAGAATTTGCATTTCTTACGAAAAATTATTAATATAGGCCTAGCCCCCATAGCAACGGAATTCCTAATTTTCAGTATTTCAGACACGATCTTAAACCGAATTAGCTCTAATTATACCCGCGAAATATGGGTCCTATAGCCACCTTTAATACCGATCGCCATATATCGACTAGCTGAGTCGATCTAGACATGTGTTTCCGTCCGTCTGTCCATTATAATTTGTAAACATGATACAGGCCACAGTTATGGACCAATCTTCACATGCATGTGATGGGTTCTGGCCAATGAAGACCCCTATTGTTTTTTTTTTTTTTTGGTAAAGATCGGTTAATATTTAAGGGATGAAATGGACCAAATACTTAATTTTTGCCGTTTTTATCTTTGGTTGCTCCAGAGACCTTAATAATGACCCAAACATGGCGAAATTTTACAAGGAGAAGGGGATCGGGTCAAAGAATCAGAATGCCATTATTTAGCGGGTCAAATGGACCCTGACTTTTCAGAAATATATCAATGATCGCTTTAAAATTCTCTAAGAGGTTCCAGTTATGGTCAAGGGAAGCCTATAAGTTTCGGTGATGATCATATACAAATTTGGGATGAAGTGGACTTAATTATTTTGTGTGTTTTTCGAGTCGATCTATAGGCCACAAGCCGAACATCACAACAAAACCCACGGCGAAGAGAATCTGGACAAGTAATTAGAAGGGCTGTACTGAAGAGATAATAAAGAGGTCCAGCCCCTTTGTTGGTACTCTGATGTTGACTATTTTTATACCCTTCACCACACTGTGGTACAGGGTATTATGTCTTTGTGCATATGTTTGTAACAGGCAAAAATAATCGAGATAGACCCATGGTTCCTTTTGTGTGAAAAACTTTCAAAATTTGTATTCTATCCGGCGTACATGTATTTACAAAGTACAGGTCGCATTTATGATCCGATTTGGATGAAATTTGGCACAGGTCACTTAATTGGACCAAGGACGAACCCTATTGAAATTGGAGAAAATCGGTCCACGTTTAGGCATAGCTCCCATATAAGGGTACCCCGAAATTTTCGGTATTTTGAGGTTCTTGAGCGCATTTTTTAACTGAATTCGCTGAAATTTGGTACTTTGAGTTCTTATTGGGTAGCAAATCTCTCTACCAAAAATTATAAATAAAGGTCCATTTTTTCGGATAGCCCCCATATAAGATTACCCCCAATTTTCGGTATTTTGGGGGTTTTGATCGCATTTTCCGACCGAATTCGCTGAAATTTGGTACTTTGTGTTCTTATTGGATAGTAAATCTCCCTACCAAAAATTATAAATAACGGTCCATTTTTTCGCATAGCCCCCATATAAGGGTACCCCCAAATTTTCGGTATTTTGAGGTTCTTGAGCGCGTTTTTTAACTGAATTCGCTGAAATTTTGTACATTGAGTTCTTATTGGGTAGCAAATCTCCCTACCAAAAATTATAAATAAAGGTCCATTTTTTCGGATAGCCCCCATATAAAATAACCTCCAATTTTCGGTATTTTGGGGGTTTTTTTATTTTAAATTCACTGAAATTTGGTACTTTGTGTTCTTATTGGGTAGCAAATCTCCCTACCAAACATTATAAATAAAGGTCCATTTTTTCGGAAAGCCCCCATATAAGGGCACCCCCAATTTTCGGTATTTTCGGGTTTTTGGGCTCGTTTTATAACTGAATTCGCTGAAATTTTGTACATTGGGTTCTTATTGGGTACCAAATTACTCCACTAAAAATTATAAATGTAGGTCCAGTTTTTCTGGTAGTACCCATATAACGGTACCCCGAAATTTTTGGTATTTTGGGGGTTCTGATCGGATTTTTCGACCAAATTGACTGTAATTTAGTACGTCGAGTTTTTATTAGGTAGCACATCTCTCCATATAAATTATAAATATTGGTCAATTTTTTCTGGTAGCCCCCAGGTTTTGAGGTTCTTGAACCAAATTCTTTTTTCTGGTACAGGGTATTATGTTTTTGTGCATATGTTTGTACCATGCAAAAATAATCGAGATAGACCCATGGCTCCTTTTGAGAATATGCATAGAATCACTTTTTGAGTCGATTTAAGCACAAATTTGGCACAGCGTAGCAAATTAGGTCTAGAATGATGTGTGTAAAGTTGCCTGAAATCGGTTCAGATTTAGATATAGCTTCTATATCTGACCATATGAACAATTTAGTATCGGTTGCAGAATGACGTGTTTATGGTTCCAATTTCATTTTACTGGTCCTTTAAAAATGCGACTTCTGTTAGGATTCATCTGTTGAATATACTCAAAGTGGTGAAGGGTATCATAAAGTCGGCCCCGTCCGACTTTACTACTTTCCTTACTGGTTTAATGATACGAAGTGGTTGATGAAAAAATTAAAATATCAAACGATCCTTGGATATATCCCTTTATATGTATTTTAGGCATATGTGACTATATTTTGGCATCACGAAGTGGAAGTGGGCAAGATAAGTCCAGCCCCCATACAGAGGCCAAGAACCATTATCGCCATGAAATATCGAAATATATCGATCTTCCATGTTTTTACATAGCCCCATCAGGCGATGAAATATCGAAATATATCGATCTTCATATCTTGACTAACTGAATCGATCTAGCTTGGTGTGTCGGTCCATTATAATTTGCATGTAGGTCCGTATCTGGTCAAATGCAAACTTGTAAGTTCAATGGATCTTTGGTTATATCCCAAAAATTCAGCTCCAACTATATGGTCAAGATAAATCCAGAGGCCAAGAGCCATATCGAAATTCCATTCTTTAACATAGCCCTTATCAGAGGACGAAGTGTAGAAATATTGATCTTCATATCTGTAGGGTCTGACATGGTCGGCTTCGTTCTACTATATTGCTCCGCTCAGTGGTTGTATATATTTATTTATTTGATTTTTTTTTTTGTTTGTTAATGACTCATCCCTCAACCTGTCAAAATTATTTGCTATCTATTAATCCTTTAGTTTATTGAATGGATCATTCAACAAAAGATTTATTTAATTGAAATATTTGCAAAAAAATGAAACAAATTAGGTCATCAAGAAATAATATAATGTATTCAATAGTCTCATGTATATAATGTCAAGAACACTATAATATATTATGGCAATTTTCATAAATAAAAAAAAAAATCGCATACCACACGAATTTTTATTGTACGACATAGAGACAGAAAAAACACTTTAAATTTTTCTATGCCAACAACAAAAAAACATCGGACCTTGAAAATAATGTTTTTCTATGTTATCATTTGCAAAAAAAAAAAATTCTTAAATTGAAAATAAAAATTAATTCAATTAATTCGGGGTCAAATATAACAAAAAAAAATCTTTTTTTTTTTAATTTCCCCATAAAAAAACAAAGACAAAATTTATACAATTTGTTAATCAAAATCCAGGGTCACGGGAAATTTATTTCCTCTGTTCAAGAAAAATTCAATACCAAACAAAATATAACATTCGAAACAAATTAAATGCTTGTTATTGAAAAATATAGCTGCACAACAAACACACAAATGATGTACAATTATAGATAAAACATGTGAGCGGAGCAGTCGGATGGGCCGACCATATGATACCCTACACAACTGCCACGGAACTCAAACTTTCTGCAGATCTATATTCCAAGAATGGGCAATATTTGCACCCTTTTAACCGATTAGAGGTCAATATCTTCTATTTCTTGCCATGACATCTATTTCGAATTATGTTTTATATCATAATATCCAATTTTTTCATTTTACACCGAAAGGTCTTGGATGACTTGACCCGCTGAATAGTGACAGATCATTACAAAAGCATATCAAATTATTTGGCCAGATTAATTTTCCAGTGTAATATTCGGCTTAAAATTGTGGCATATAGATCGACTTGAAAAAAAAACACACAATAAAAATAAGTTTCGGTCCACTTCAACCCAAAATTATTATCTGATCATCACCGCAAATTATAGGCGTTGTCCTTGACCATAAACGGAACCGTTTAAAAACGATCAGCGCTATATTTCTGCCCAACAGTGTGGTAATGGGTTACTAAATAATATCTGACTACGTAAGCACCTGTAAATATTTAAGTGTAACTCTCATATCCGAGCACATACGACAATATAGTTGGTATCAATTTAAAGGCCAACAACTCCTCTTGGATATACTATCGGGTCTATGTCCTTCAGGAGTAAATATATATGCCATAGAATGCAAATTTTGTTCTTTTTCACACAAAAATTTGGGTCCATTTGACCCGCTAAATATTGACCGATCATTATCAAAACAGGCATGCTTATTCTTTGGCCCGATCTCCAATGTTTGGACCGATTCGCGATGTTTGGACCCTAATTGCGGCCTCTGGAGCGACCAGAAAATCAGACAAAAATAAAGTTGTTGGTCCATTTCCTCACTTAAATATTAACTGATCTCTACCAAAAAGAATAGGGGTCTTCATTGGCCAGAACCCATCCTACATGCAAAATTTCGTGAAGATTGGTCCATAACTGTGGCCTGTATCGTGTTTACAAATTATAATGGACAGAGGGACGGACGGACGGACACACATATCTAGATCGGGTCTAGGACCAATATTTCGCGGCGTTACAAACTTTTGGGGCTGTAAAAAGCT